ATTATTTTGTTAGCAATTTTTCCAATTACGAGAACCGGTTCACAATGTATGACCACACGAGCCGTCAAATCAATAACCACTTCTATAGCTATAATGTCGGTCCCATTCATTTCATTGTCTTCTCATCGGAATATTACTATTACGTTAATTACGGGTGGAATCAAATTGAAGTCCAATATAATTGGCTCGAGAATGATCTGAAAGAGGCCACAAAACCCGAGAATCGGGCCGTCAGGCCGTGGGTTATAACGATGGCTCACCGGCCCATGTATTGCAGGTTTGACTCAATTCATTGCTTACAATCAAAAGTATATGTAATCATAATCAAGAATATTCTGTATTTTAGTACCGATGACAGCGACGATTGCACGCGAAAGGAGAGTATTGTATGTTTTAAATGCAATTCTCATTCAATTTCTGCAAATTATTAACAAATTCTATACTATTAGGTGAGGAAAGGGCTGCCAATTGTGAACGCTTATGGTTTAGAGGACTTGTTTTACAAGTATGGCGTGGATATAGAAATTTGGGCCCACGAACACATCTACGAGCGAATGTGGCCCGTATATGATCGGCACGTTTACAACGGCACAGAAAGCGACTCCAATCCATACCACAATCCCAAAGCTCCCGTCCATTTCATCACCGGTTCTGCGGTAAACATTTAGTGACAATTTCAATATTTATTTTGTAACTGTATTTACAATTAATGTAAACCAAAAGGGCTGTCAGGAAGACATCGATCCGTTTATCCCAAACCCTCCGCCGTGGAGTGCGGTCCGCATCCGGGACTACGGCTACACCGAAATGCTTATCTATAATCACACGCACATAGACTTCACCCAATTATCAACCGATAAAGTAAGCGATAAAAACATTGGATTGAATTTCAAAATACATTTTCTTATTTATTAATTGAGATTTAAATACATATAATTGACGTTTCAATTAATTAAATACATATATAAAGGGAGGCGTTGTTGTGGACAAGTTTACCGTAATCAAGGATAAACACGGACCCGAGGCCTGGCTATGAGAAGTAGGCTCCGGAGGAGAGGTGGGAGCCGAGGATTCTCTGAGATAATTGTCAAATAATACATAAGACATACATTAATTGTATACAAATAATAGCTAATTGTATTGTTTTGTTACAATATATGGGCTAAAAATTAAATTTCTTATTCAAAACTATATATTTTCTTAAATATTTGTATTGTTTTTTTGTTATAATATAAATCACAGCTTAACTACTATTAAATATTAAGAGAATTGATTCAGCATTTGTTGTTTGGCATATGTTTTGTCCCAAAATATAATTTTTTGTTTTTAATATTAATTAAAAAGACACGAAACAAAAAAAAGTGGATTTTTGAAATCACGTCAAAATCAGTTTAAATACAAGTAAAAGTTCAATAAAAACATAAAATACACAAAAAAAGAGAAAACAATCAATAATTGTTGTCTCAAAATATAACTCAATTCACAAAATAAATAATTTAAATTAAAAACTTAATAATCAGTTAATAAGTCAATTAATGGAGTCGAGAAAAATACACTTTTTGCAGAACATATACAGTATATAAGCGCCGGGAGTTTGCGGTAACTGAGCGGCCGGTGCTCTGTCACTGGGAAGTGAAACTCAGCCCACGTTGGGTGAGATTCTGGTGATGGAGTTGTCGCGTGTCATCAAATCAATCTCCATCTGTATATTCTTCGGCAGAACCGTCTTATTCAGGTCCTTCTCGATGGCCACCAAAATGCTCAGCGTTTTCAGTGAGGGCTCTAATGTTCGCACAGGTGTGGGGTTTGGACGGGAGAGACAAGTTATGAGAATTATTTCAATACAAACTCATTTATTACATCAGTTGTGTAACAATTTCATCATCTTTTGCATAATAAATCATTATAACACTAACACTATTACTGTTATAATTTAAGTTTCAATTTCACATTCATCATTATCTCCATAAATCTAATAGTTATAAGTTATAAGTTTTGTTTTCATATTAAGATTTTGGTGCCAAACCCGGAGCAGTAGTTAATTACTAAAATAATTAGTGCTTTTAATCGGTTAATACTCACTGAAGTCTAGGATATAGAGGTCCGAGTGATCCCGAAGTCCCAAATCTATTTGCGAATAGTATTCGAGTGCAGCCGGAGATAAACTTTCAATGGAGTGGTGCTGAAGAATAAACGGACTGTTCGGGTGATAGTATCGTAAGATTAAACATACAAAACAGATCAATGAGTGATGGAGTGGTGCCATACCTCGTGCCGCCAAACAAATAGAGTTTATCGCCGACAACACAGCAACACTGTCGCCGTCGAGCGCACGGTCGCCGTCGGCCGTGCACTTCCACGAGTGACCAGAGAAGTGTCTTTGGGTCGTATTTGTAGAGATCGTTGTAATGAATGCGTTCGACGCCATTATAGCCGCCGAACACATAGATGTTGTCGTTATAGACAAACGATGAGTGACTCCGCCGTCCGTTGGGTCGGAGGCCGTGTGTTTCGGGTTTAACCCAATTATTGGTTGTCGTATTGAAATACATTATGACATACCGCCGAACACATAGATGTTGTCGTTATAGACAAACGATGAGTGACTCCGCCGTCCGTTGGGTCGGAGGCCGTGTGTTTCGGGTTTAACCCAATTATTGGTTGTCGTATTGAAATACATTATGACATTGCAGTAAATCTCTTGCTGTGAATGACTCGGACCCGAGCGGTCGCTGCGGCCGCCGAACACAAACATCTTGTCCTCGTAGGCGACGGCCGAATGGAAGTCCCGCCACGAGGGAGGAGTTCCCGAGGCGTTCACATATGTCCAGACATATGTCGTCAAATCCAGACAATAGATATCATTGGAAAAGCGTTCCGTCAGCTCCTCATAGCCGCCGAAGATATACATCTTGTTGTTGATGGCGACGGCTGTGTGTCCATCGCGAGCGCCGGGAATACTTCCCGTCACTTTCGGTCTCTCCAACCACTCGCCGGTATTCGTGTCAAAACAGTATAGCGTGTGATCCGCGTACACATCGTTACGGCCGCCCCAGAGGTACACCAGATCCCCGTTCGCCACAACCGAATGGCCGTACCGTTGAAACGGCAGGTCTGAGTCCGTACGGATCAACCGGTCGAAGAACTTGGAGTTGTCGTTCACGTTTAGCGTCCAGCGGAGTGTTTCTGAACGTACGGATCAAATACGGGCAAAGAGATGAGCAAATGGTGCGGTAAATGACATCTAAATGAGTGGTCAAACCTGTGTCCAGAATATGACAGTCGATGGGCTTCAAGAGGCCGTAGTTATCGCCCGTACAGTAACCGCCAAATGAGTACACAAACCGACCCACAGATACGGCCGCGTGATTCACGCGCTTCGGTCCGCCCTCCAGGTGTGTCGTCCAATACATGATGGGATCAGTTTCGCGCAGACAATGGCCACCACTTCTTCTCCGCCTCTTTCCTAAGCCTATACTGTATTTCGCAAAACAAGGCTTCAATTGAATGGCAATATAATTAGCGGACAACTAGTGGTCACTCAAATGGGATGGCGTGGGGGTCGGAAGGGGTGGGGGAGTGTAGGTGTGCGATGACCATGGGCAATTGTAATCTAGGTGTAGTATTACCAGGGTGATTGCGATGGAGTCACACAATGGGCTGACTTGTGATGTTATGCTGTATTTTTGGCACCAATTCATCACAACTAATGCACACCAAAAGTCTCTACGAGTTATGTCATGAAATACACTCTCTATTCTTACCATAAGGTTTTGGTTGCGATGTTTCACTGCATAACACATGAAATGCATTGCTATAGTTTGTAAGTTGTAATGCTGTGAAGCCTACGCGCATTGGAAAGGGGACAGTGGAATGTTAGGGGAGTTATGACAGTGTTTGGCTGTACCGCAAAGTATGCTATCCTAACGATGTCTGGTATGACACAAATGTTATGCCAATCCATACGTTATTACTGTTATTGTTATGAAATATTTTTCGCACAAAAACATCTGTTTTTCAAAATTATATACAAAAAAGTTTTTAATATTTGTTTTGATTTTCAATTATTTTTAATGATTTTATAATTAATTAAATGAATTATCACTTTAATTGATCCAATTGTTTATATACAAAATTATCAGAACTCATGAGTAATACACAGCTATTGAACCAAAGTTGGGATTATTTGTCCAAACAATTGACACACTTTGAGGTAAGCTTTTTTTCGCGGATCAGCTCTTGTAAACACTCACGAGTGACGGTCTGTTTGTGTCCATCGGTTAGGAAAGCGATGATTATTTATCAAAACTGACGGACGCTTTGCGAGTACTTCGGGACCAGTCTTTTGTTGAAGTACTCATTGAATGGTACTATGATTTGTACTACACTTTCATCAACGAAGAACTTGTACCACATTTTTGGTCCACATTTCGTAATCACCAGCAGTTGAGCGAAGACACGGCCAACACATCCACCGCCGGCACCACTCATGCCATACTATTCTCGACCGCCGATCATCTGTTTGTGTCGGCAAACAAGTGGATCAATAATGTGGTGTTGAGTCGTGTGTTTGAAACAATGTCCAGAGAAGAGTGAATCCAATATTTAATACTAAAACAAATAAAACTGTAAAAATAGTGATCACAGGAACCAAATTCTGTGAGAATATAATGTTTGTCTCAATACTTACCATAAGTATTGTTCTGTGGATCGGATCCACCGATGCCTATGAGTTGACACAACCCGAACAAATACATCTCGCATATGGAGGTAACGGTTGCCACTCTTTATCCTAATAATGTCAATCTAATGGTTGATTTGATTGTCAAAGTGGGACCAACTGAAATGGTGGTCACGTGGGTCACAATGGATTCGACACCGGAGACCACTGTTGAGTTCGGCCAATCGCCGACCGGACTAAACACCATCACTCAGGGATACGCCACGAGATTTACAGACGGCGGCAGTGAAAAAAGGGTTATGTATATCCATAGAGTGGTCTTAAAGGGACTCAAACCGGATGAGCAATATTGTAATAATTAATACATTATTATTATTATTGATTTGATTAATATCTAACTATTGTTTAACAACTTGATTACAAACACTAGTCTATCACTGCGGCAGTGACTCCGGCGGTTGGAGTAGTGTTTACTGGTTTAAGGCCATGAAAGAGGGCAATACATGGAGTCCACACCTGGCACTCATCGGCGATCTCGGAAATGTTAACGGAGTATCCCTTCCCTTGTAATGCCATTTAAATATCAATATTTCGTTCAATAAACTAAAATTTGTAACATTTTTAAATCTCAAGTCTTCAGAAAGCGGTGGCGAAAGGAAAATACGATGCCGTCCTTCATATCGGTATTAATTGATTTTACAATTGTTAAAATACAGTCCAAACTTCTCTCAACTTTTATATATATTTAATTAATTATTATTGCTTTTTCTTACTTGAAGGTGATTTTGCGTATGATATGGATTCGGTTAGTAATTGTCTCAAAGTTTTTTCAAACAAGTTTATAACATTTTCCACACTATATCTCAATATAATTATCTAATCTTTAGGATAACGCTCGGGTCGGCGACGAATTCATGAGACAAATGGAACCGATCACTGCGTAAGAATGCTTAAGACATATTCATATTCAGGCAATTTTCATACCATTAATAAATTAAATATTTATTTTAATAAACAGTTATCTGCCATATATGACAGTCGTTGGCAACCATGAGGGCGCATAGTTAGTACCCATTTGGGTGATCCACACAAAAACTGTTACCATTAACTAATATTTGCATTATTTTGTTAGCAATTTTTCCAATTACGAGAACCGGTTCACAATGTATGACCACACGAGCCGTCAAATCAATAACCACTTCTATAGCTATAATGTCGGTCCCATTCATTTCATTGTCTTCTCATC